TTCAATATATTCTGTTAATAATGTGTTTTTATCAATTTGTGTGTACATAGTACACAAAGCGTCAAAGGCATCACAAGGTACAATGTGTGGATTATTTTTTACTTCTCGAATACGTCTAGATGAAAGAAGGGATAAGTCTTTTAAGGGCCCTATATTGGTGCTTTCAAAACGTCCACTTAACTCTGCTAAAAGAATATCCATTATGATATTGTATGTATCAATTTTAAATTTTTTCATGGGACAGGATATAATTTCATCTCGAGAAAGTTCACCTGAAATTAATATTAAATTTTGTAATTTAGAACAAACATAGTTTCTTAATAAATATAAAATAATTGATATTTATTTTGAAAATAATATATACCTGATTTTTTTGGAACACGTTTCGGTCGACTAGATACAAGAGGTAAAAAGTCAACAACACTATTTTCAGCAAACTCATCAGTAATTTTTAGCAATCTTTTAAACGCATCATCATTTCTAAGTTCTTTGATTCGGTGAATCACATTATTTAAAATATTTGTGGCCATAAGCATATCCATATCTTGTGATTGCAATTGGCGGGTGACAGGTTCAAGTATATCAAATATAGTTTTGAATAATAATGCTGTTAGAAGAAAACGTTGGGATGTAAGATATGATATCAAGCCACTGCAACTTGCACCAACTACTACATCAGCAGATCCTTCGGAATCTYTAATTTGGTTTAATGTTTTTAAAACTGCATTGTGGAATTTCAAAACTACATTTAATGCTGCTGAATGAGAACTCCACCGAGTGGTGCTTACTCTCTTAACTGCATGCGATGGATTTTTTTTACCTTCAATTTTACCACATTCAATTTGRATTTCTCTGAAAATCGCTGCTCTTTTTTTTGAACACCAAAGAAAAATATAGAGAGTTTCTAAATATTTCAAATGTTCAAAATATTTGTTTCTAATGTTTCTATATATGATATCGGATATACCATATACGTATGTACATAAAATAAGTATACTCAATTCTTAAATGTATAAATAATAGTCGATAAGGCAGTATTAACATTCATATAATATATTAATATGGGTAGGTAATAAAGTATTTTAATTATTAAAAATAAACGTGCTTAAAAAGTCAAAACTCAAAAGACAAAAGTCAAAATAATAGAAAAAGTGATAACTAAAAATATAAACTAAGTATATTAAATAATAATTCATTTAATTATAAACTATTCAGTTAACAGAAATAGTACATGGACACTAGTAGACAATAAACTCAACAAAAATAACAAATAAGTCGCTCACTCTGACCTGAATATACTTAATAAAGTAATGACTGACTGCTGACTAGTGCTAAGCAACTGACACCGATTTCTGCGCTAATAGTTGTTACTGTTCTTACTATTGATTGTATTATTATTTA